TATATATATAAGTTTTCAAGGCGAATTCCAAGTCGTCTGATTGCGAAAAACAGAGAAAATCTTGTTATTTTCTTTTTTTATACATTCTATATTGTGAATATTAACCAAAGTGAAGGGCGCACGTGCCTTAATTTTTAATCATTGAATACACAATGTGTATACAATTCGTATACATAATGAAAATGTCACAGAACGTATGATACATTATGTATATATAGTTGTGAAGCATTACGTACATTTAGGTATATAATAGAAATAAATATATGTTAAATAATTATATGTTAAATAATAAAATATATGTTAAATAATTATCATGTAATTAATTCTTAATCTCATTCAGTAAAAATTAACTGCAATGTACGTCTCATTGTACTTTATTGATTGTTTCTGTAACTTGCATATTTTCTATCGTTATATAAATAATGAATTAGCTATAATAAATATATTAATCTATATAAAAAATATATATCAACAATAACAGCCATCGTTTGTGTTGTGTCCAATCCATGTCAGATATCGATTTGCTCTGGTATAAACCCCGGGATATCCGGATTGAGCGCATCCTTCGCCCCAGGATACTATTCCTATAAAGTTAGTCTTTTTAATTTTTTTTCTTTTGAGTGAGATTGGTTTCCCAAGTTTTTCTTTAAGTGCTTTTTTAAGTACTTCTTACATTTTACAATTTTTTTCAAGTTTTACGACGTTTCGTGTCGTTTGTATTAAATAATTAATATAATTTAAAGCTGAACTTACCAACTATCTGGTGAACACCGTTCTCTTCTATGTGCAATGGACCACCGCTGTCTCCCTACAATGTGAAAATTTATATTGTTTATTTTTTCTTAAAAATTAATATTTTTTACAATGTTTTTATATTTATTAAAAATATATGTTAGACATCTGTATATACGCTGACATTTCTATTTGTTTTATTCATTATTTGTCATATTTTTATTGTATCAATTGTTTACATAATTAAAATGTTATGTTTTTTATATTTCAAAATAAATGCTATAAAATTTATATTTAATTATTTAAGATAAATGATTTAAAAATAATTGATGTCTTAATATTATTTCCTTATACTATTCATACATACATAATTAAGATGACTTTTTGCTTACTTGACAGGAATCCTTACCGCCCTCCTTGAAACCCGCACACATCATGTTATCTGTTATTTTGCGTGCTGGATATTTCGTAGCGCGACATTCTGCGTTTGAAAGAATAGGAACAAAAACTTCTTGTAAAGTATACGATACCTGACCACCTTCTTCGATAGCACCCCATCCGGTTGCTATACCTTTTTTACCAGCAAAAGTTTTTACTAAAAGAGATAATTAATTCGTAATCTATTATGCGAATAAATTTAAATTATTTTTCTCATTCTTTAAAAATCTAAAATATTTGATATCAATCGTTTAACAAATAAACATTGTCTTTCAATAAAATCTTTATTATTATTTGTGTATAGGAATGTGTAAACCTTATAAGAGATACCTTTTTCCGGAAGACAAGCAGGTCGCATCGAACCTTGAAACTTAATAGTATCTTTCAGTTTAAGAAGTGCAATATCATTGTCATAATTAATAGTTGAGTAACTAGGATGCTTGATTATTTTTTCTATTTGAAAATCCTGCGTTTTACTTTCATCGGTTGAATTCCAGTCGTGTTCCAATATTCGGGCAATCAATTTCTTCATATCGAATCTGTAAATAAAAATTTGATTATTTTAGCGATCGTTTTGCATATGCATACATTTATTAATTGACATATATACATATATAAAATTGACATGAACGGATGGATCACCTGTCAACGCAATGAGCAGCCGTTAGTACATGTCGTGAATTTATAATTGTACCCCCACAATAAAATTGTCCTCTGTACAACAATAAGACCATCCAAGGATATTGATTGACAAGCGTCTCGACGCCTCCAACAATACGGTTGTGTTTGTTTGTTAAACCACAAGCTATAAATAATGAATCAGTATCTTATTATTTCATATGTAATACACGTTTTATGTATATAAATATAAAGTTTCCTTCTTTTTCTTCAATAATATCTTATTGAAATATATAGAGAGTCACATAATTCATGAGTCGAAGTACCATTTAAAAATCTAAGAAAGTTTTTAAAAAATTAAATAAAAAAGTTATGTAAATTTGTATTTTAAATAATAGTTTGTGAAATAAGGATTTAAATATGATCAATTACAGATTATGTTTAAACTCTCAGTGTGCATTTATTAATATTACTGCACGTGTGATTCAAATAAGTGGATGTCTAAATATAATCTGTAATTGACTGTATTTAAACTTTTATATAAAAAAAACCTTATATAAAAAATTACTACTTGAAATAAAAATGTACACATAAAGAATATACACGCGCGCACGCGCGCGTGTGTGTGTGAATATAAAATAATCGACAGGAATTATAATTATTACTTATAGTATAAGAATATCTAAAAACATAAACATAAAATTATAAATTTAAATTTAAACATACTGCATTTTAAACACTTTTCCTGCAATTCTGTGTTTGTTGGTGGATATGGTGTTACTGAACCAAACAGCCATTCCCAAAATCCTTTATCATTATCAACTCCACTTGTACTATTCGAATTTTGTTCCTCCACACGTATAGTTAAGTTTGATTGCAACTGGAATTTAAAGTATATTTTTTTATATTATATAGATTATGATATTCTTATCACATAGAAGTCAATAAAAGTTTTTTCAGATTAATTATTAATTATAAATAATATAAAAAATATTTATACTTATAGTATAAAAAATATTTTAAAGCAAAATATACATGTATACAAATTAACTATAAAGATGTTTAATATTAAATATTAAAAAATTTTTTAAAACAGCATTAATGAATTATTTATTAAAAAAAAACAATTTTTAATAAATAAATTAAATTAAAAAATGCGACAAATCTGAGAGTTTCTATGTTTATTTCTATATATTACTTTTAATATATTCTTTCGCGTATTTTATTTTGTAAATAATAAATTAGTTCAAAAATAATTTATTTATATGTAAGTAAATGTGCAAAAACACTACATCATCAACATGATCAGCAGCACATCGACGATACCTCATTATCAACGCTGACTGTTATAACCACTACGACAAGAGTTAATAATGATATAAATCGTAACAGCATTATTTTTAGCACTTAAAAATTTAGCACTACTGTTATTTCCTACTGTGCACTGAAAGAAGTATCAAACCGATCTGATCAACAGCGTACTTCCTGCCGAGTTTATACTTTCACACAAACCATCGATTTGGTGTCACGTCTTTATTTATATGGAATAGTGGACAAGCCGGTAGCAGAAGTGAAAATTTAGGCTACCGGTATGTAAATTCATCACAAAAAAATGTAAGCATGTAAGAAATCTTAAATATAATTAAACAAGTTTGTTAAAGATGTTATATCTTTCAAATAATTCCTTTTTCTCTTTCTCGTGTGATTTCTCTTTTTAAAATGAAGAAAGGGCAAAAGTGAATGTCCTAGTTAAAAGTAATTTATTAGTTAAAATTATATAGGAAAATTTTTCACTATTTTTTGCACATTCCACATTTAAACATTTTTTTTTGTAAATTGTAAATAAAATAATTAACACACATAGAGAAAAGATTAATCAACGCAGCTAAAATATAGTGTCCTTATAAGGGACAGCTAATTGTCATTGCTGCCAAAGCTCAATTTATTAACTGCTAAAATTTAGATACTGCAGCAAAAAGTATTCTCTGCTAGAGTAAAATGGCAACCGGCAGTGTCTCAAAAACAATTATGAATGAAACGTTCGGTTACGCGGCTCAATAGTGACAAATAGCTACCACTTACTTAGCTACTCATAAGTTAAGTCGCTTCTAATTTTAACTAATAAAGTTGAACGTCGTCAGTAAATATATTTTATCTTCTAGCCAATTTTTATCTAGCCAATTAATTTATGATAACAGCAAAGTTTGAATCAGCAACTGATATTTAGCTGATTTACTAAATCCTTTTTCTGCGTGCAATATTTATTAAATATTTAAGATATATATTCAAAGAGAACTTTGTTGTGGAATTAATAAGTGCGTTTTTTTGTGTGTGTAGATAAAATAAAATGTAGTGATGTAATGGATGCAACAAAAAAGCTAGCAGCAATATTGCTGCAATAATGGTGGAATGGTCTGTCTGAGAAATTATATAAGATAAATTATATATATATATATATATATATATATATTCCAAATTAATTCTTAAATAAAAACATATAAAAATCAATGTTTCTTTGTACATACAAGAATAAATGTATGTATATTATTGCATAAATAAATGTCATACATTATACATCTTACTTTCGAAAACGTAAATTTGAAAGTTTGAATAAATCTCATTATAATTTAAGCATTCTGGTTTAGTTAAACATACATTTTTACAAATCTTTAGCATATAACATAAGCGCGCGTGTATATTGCATACAGTGATGCATTCATAATTCCAAGTGATATGGAAAATGACAGAGTCTCTGATAGATTCCTATCTTTGTCTGTATCGGCACTTCTCCGTCTGATCTGATTTATCAACTTTAATTATTGCTGAACAAACGAGATAAGATGAGCGGCAGAGCAACAGATTGTACACCACCTGTAACCTGTAACAGTGGGTCAAGGTATATAGGTAACGAGACCCTCATGCGGGCGAGACGCATTACCTTATTGTCTCGATGTATGT